GAACAGGGTCGTGGAAAAGTATTACGACCATAAAACTGCCAGCGTTGCGTGGAAAGAGAAAAAAGGAGAACACACATAGACACACGGAAAGCGATAAAATTCAATTATGAAGAAGCGGCGGGGCTCGCACGGTACTTCCGGTCTCGAGGATCTTCCGGTTCGCCATAAATCGTTCTGATGTAAACTAAAGAAAGAAAGAAAGAAAGAAAAAAAGGAAGGAAGAAGAAAAGAACGAAAGAGAGAGAAAGAGAGAGAGAGAGAGAGAGAGAGAGAGAGAGAGAGAGAGAGAGAAAGTAAAGAAAGTCAGATAGAGAAAGAAAAAGAGAGAAGGAACCAGGAAGAGAGAGAAAGAGGGAAGAAGAGAGGAAGATAGTTTACACGAAGGGGGTTGGACGAAAGGGTGCTAGTTTAACGCGGGAAGGAGAAAGAAGAGAAAGAGAGAGAGAGAGAGAATACAGGGGAAGAGTAGGAAAACGGAGTAGATAGGAGGGGGTTGAAGAAAACACATAATAGGGTGGGGCGCTTTGCTGCCGCTTTTGAATCGATCCAACACCGGCTACAGCTGGAGCCTCATCCCACCTGGGTCGCGCTCAGTGGTTCTCATTTCTCCGTAGTTCTCTTGGAAAGGTAACTCCAAGAGCTTTATCGGTGAGGATAGAGAGAGAAACGACGGACGCGATGGGATTTAGATTAATGTCAGATTTAAAGTCCATGCTGGAACGAAAGAAACTAGGTCGCATCCGGAAGCGCTCACTACCACCACCACCACTACCACCACCGCCACCACCGCCACCGCCGCCACCACCACCACCACCACCACCACCACCACTACTACTACCACTGGTAACACGATGTTAAGTAAACGCGTTCGCGAACATGCTCGTGCGCGCAGGAATACGCGAATGCGCGTTTACGTTCGTACGACCCTGGCCGAAATTGTTTTTTTCTTCTCGTCGTAGGACGAGAAGTATGCTCTTCCATTCGATTCTTTTATAGATGACAACAACTTCGAATTAACATCACGCGAAATATAAAGAAATTATCCATTCGCAATATTCAATACCATCCTTTCATTTTTACTTTCTCGAATGCGCTTAATCTGCCGGAAAAGAGATTTTCTTTCTACTCGACGTTAATAGATTCCTTTAGGATCGTCAATTTCTTTAAGTGTTCTTCTTTTTGTTTTTTTTTTATTTCTTCTTTTTTTCTTTTTCTCCTTGTTCCCTATCTTTTCTTTTTCTTATTGTCATAAGCGTAATTCGTATACTACTCGAGCATTCATTCTCAGTTGAATCGAACGAAAAGATGATAAAAAAAAAAGTTGCAGACTTGATAATAAAAAAAAAAAAAAGAAGAGATAATCGTTGTTAATTAATATCTAATATCCGATTTAAAATATCGTTTTGAAAGATCATAGTCAAGAAAAAGAAAAAGTAATTCATACTTTCATCAAGCGTTACAATACTTTAGTCGAACGTAACTTTTGATATATTTGCAATTCATACTGAATGAAAGAGAAAGAAAGCTTCTCTAACGTCATTCGGTTGCCCTGGGAATCGAAATAGTCCCGATATCGGATCGCTCGTAGATTCGAAAGAGTATTAGTTTAATGGAGAAGGGACTCACCGTTGTTGTTGCGCAGGATGGAACCAGGACTCGTGGCCTCGAGAGGGCTGCTCGGTTCTTCCGTGCTCGGCTCCCTCTTCACGCTGAAATAGAAACATGCATTATGTATTCAACGGTAAAGTAGAAGAACGTAGCCCCAAAAGTGGTCCAAGTATAAGGGAACGATAGTTGTCGAGTCAGAAGTTTGAAACTATATATATACAAGGACATTGTAACACGTTGCCATCGCAGATGTCCTTCTCGATTTTTATTGGTCACGGTCTTGGCTGAGGAACTGTAAAAAAAAAGGATAATAAGAAACGAATTCGACCTACTTTTCGTATTCCCTTCGTTCCGAATTACAACGTAATAAAAATTCGAGATGAAACATGAAGATTCTATATATGTATTTGACGACTGATCAATGTCTCCTATACGGGATCTATATATTTTCGAAGGTGACAATGAATTAACGTATTAAATGAACATCAATACAAACCGATGCGCTATCGATCAGCTTATGAACCACTGAAATGCATCCTAAATATATAACATCGGACGTCTTTAAATGAACGAACGAGTTGCTTTACTCGCAGTCGCTTCTATACGCGCGATTCAATAACCGCGCTTTCACAATTACCTACTCTCTTCGTGCCAATTTAACCACCGAGAATGGTTTTCAGTTTTGAGCCTTTTTTCATCATTGAGATTTAACGTTTAAATACGAGCTACGCTTTCGAAAAGGAAAAAATACTTTTCTCTGAATTTTCTTTAACTCTCTTTCTCTGTCTATTTATCTATGTATCTCAACGATCGTTATAAATACCATGTGCGAAACGTAATGAATGAATAATAATTCATACAGGAGGAAGATTTCGAGAGTTCTTTCGAAACGAGAAAAAAAGAAAAAGAAGAAAAAGAAAAGAGAAAAAAATTGTTGAAAGAAAAATGAGATTTATTCAATCGCAAGATTTTTTCTCGAAAAAATAAAATATCGGATAAACGTTAGAACCATTTTCCTCTGACCAACGATGGCAGAAGACATCGATTACTCTGCGAATCGTCCGCGCTATTCCGAGTACCATCGATAATTATTACCTTCGAATAGGTGGAACGAATTGGGTCGCCCGAAAATATCTTCCTCTAAAGGTTCCAATCACTCGCAATACCTTCTTAAACGTTCTGGAAATCTCTTCGCAATTTCTATTTACTTAAAGGTCGTACAAACTTATCGATTGGATATTTCATACGTGCGATTATAATGTCGATAATGACAGCTTACATCCGAATGAAATTTAAATTGGAAAGATAATAATTGTGAAATTGTCGTGGTGATCATCGGAAATCGATTATCAAAATTAGACAAAAAAAAAAAAAAGAAAAAAGAAAAGAAATAATTTTCTAAACAAATGCATAAAAAATAAACCCTATAAAGAGAAAGAAATAAATCGATATATCGAGCTATCCACAAATATCTTTGATATCTTAAATATCTATTTCATCGAATGGAACTGCTCCATTTTCATTAAATCGACGTAAATGAAATTTGATAAATATTTAACTTTCTAGTACCTTACTCCCGATTCGTTCATCTAATGAAAAAAAATCTTTGAAAATTATGTACGATTTGACTATTCGTTTTTGAGGGGATTTTTAACTTCTAAAAATGTCTATCTTCGATCGAAGATATTGATAAATTTTAATTACGATAAAAAGTGCATAGGGTGAATAAAAATCGACGCTCACGATCTTAATTTTCTATTTTTGGAGTTTGTTAAGGAAAGAAGAAAAGGGGGAGGGGCAAGAAAAAGGAGAAAAAGAAAAAAAAGAAAAGAAAAAACGAAATTTAAACTTTTTCACGGAAAAATCGTTTCCGTTGAAGCCGTATTCGTGGCTTACATTTTTAAATTGTTGGAATGGAAAATGTGGTCGGAGGTTGGCTTAAGGCACGATGCTCTTAAAGTTTACATTATTAAATGTGTCGATGCAGGTACGCTTGTCTTTACAAACGGCCAGAGACTCTACTACGAGGCTGACTACTCGCGACAATGTCCCGGCAAGGGTGACTTTTGAAGGCCGTATGTGCATACCCGAGCAAGGAAAAGTTACAAACTTTCACGAATCTATCATATTCGCGTTAATAATGAGGAAGTATCGGCTACATAATAAAATTTTCAACTTATAGCTAGAAATATTTACTCGACCTTCTAGATAAAGTAGTACGACGATGCTAATTTGCTATCATTACTTGTTACAAGATACAGCATCTCATCGAACAGTAGAACGTTAGTATCGTATATAGATATATACATATTCATCTTACTGGTAAACTTTTCCAAGAACTTTCAGAAACTTATACAAAACATATATAAAACTTCTTTCAACCATACATATTATTTATACTCCGATGAAAGATCAAATAAAACTTGACGATATCGTATATTATAGATAATCCATAGTGTTAGTTGGAAAAGAATGCGATGACAATTTTTTATTATATTTTTTGAATGATTCAAACGTTTACATTCTCACCTGATAAAAGTGGAATCTGCCGAAGGACTGGAAGGTCTTGGTGAGGAACTCGCGGTGGAGGCAGTATTGGTCTCCTCCACGTCCATCATTGTTCATACCGACGATCGCGCTCGATACAATTCCAATGGAACTAAGGAACCTGAAGAAGGACGGTTGCGACGACGACGACGACGACGACGACAACGACAAAGACAACGACGACGACGACGACGACGACGACGACGACGACGACGACGACGACGACGACGACGACGACGACGATGATGATGATGATGAGCCGAGGATCGTCAATCCGTCAGGCTCGTCGATCGCTCGACGTACAATTCCGTGGAGAACAGAAACCATAAAGTTTTGGGGGATTGCGATGAGAGGGGGTTGGGGGTTGGTTTCACGCCCGTCCGCGAGCGCGGGCTTACGGGAAACAACTGACAAATGATGTTACCCCCACCGTTTTGGTTTACTACCGAGCGCCTGCAAACCTGCGCCTCACACACCTGCCATGCAGGAAACATTCGCAACGCGCAGGCGTCCTTCATTCGAGAATTCTCTTTTACCCTTTTCCTGAAATCAAAGAATACGTTAATGATAAATATATAAATAATATCGTATTACGAAATTAAGAAAATTCGATGTTTTATAAAAAAAAAAAAAAAAAAAACAATTAAATGAAAGGCAAAAAAGTTTACAGGCTCCTTTATAATGGGATAAGGAACGATGATATTGGTATGACAATTAAATTATTTTCCTTTTTTTTTTTTTTCTCTTCACGCGATTCCGTGATTTTATTTAAAAGTTATTTAATCGCGTAATAATGAGATCGCGTTATTAATAAATAACAATGATATGTAAGATTACATTGTGTATTAGAGGAGGAGAAAGACATCGTTTATTCATTAAACATCGGATACAGTTTTTTCTTTGGAAGAGTGATAATGCCTTGCAAAAGTTTCACCTACTAAAAGTGGAAATATCAAAGTTGCCTCAGCATAAATCTGAAAGAAAAAGAAATGTAAATATGTGATCGATCATTTTGTGCTTTCCTTTTCCTTTTTTTTTTTCTTTTTTTGTTCTTTTTTCTTTTCTTTGCATCAGATGATATTCTCTTACTTTTACCGGGGTCGCATCTTTTCGAATTTTACCCCAAGAGATCGCCTCGTCTGGACGAGCTCCGCTATCGCTACCATCGAATTCTGAAGATGTGTTTATAAAAACAGCATAGTCAGCACCATTTCTCTGGAATAGAACATAGTATTACATAATATACTGCTGTGAATAATTTTCTTTTTACTCACCATTAAATTTGCATTACAAATATGATGTTTTACAACACCACCTCCTACTATAATCATTCCACTGTTGATTGCTTTCATAGCCATTGTATTTAAACGTCTCAGATCTAAACGTATAATACAAATGATATTAATTATTTTTAAAAATTGTTCCTGTCTTATAAAATAAAAAAGAAATAAAAATTGAAAAAAAAAGGACATTTACCTGAGATTATGTCTACTACTAATCCTGGATTTCTAAAAGAATGAAAATACATCATATCACCTAAACTGCCATCTGTTAAAGCTGGACTGAAAACTGGAATTTTATTCTTTGCTGCCCAATAATATATTGATTCTTCGTTATTAATTTCTTCACCTAATCTTGTTATTATTTTAGATGGAGTCCATAGAATACCCTGCAAAATAAATTATAATAAGAACTAAAATAAAATAAAATAATAAAATATTGTAAGATCAATTTTATACTTGTTCCTTCTGTTCGGTTAACATAGAATCTAATATTGGCGTTACCCAATCTTCAAAAATACAATAATTATCATTAGGAACTAACAGATTCCCTATTCGATTAATTCCAATTTCTCTAAGATGTTTTCCATCTAAGTGAAAATCACCGATATAAGTTGGTGCTAAACATTTAATAAAATCTTCTTCTATTCCACCTGCTGTTGTAACTATACAATCAACCTAAAACCAATAAATTGGCTGAATTCAATTGATAAAATATAAGACATAATTACAATACATATATATATATACATATTCAAGAACTGACCATTTTATGTTGCACAAGGAATCTTATAGTTTCCCTAACACCACAAGAAGACATATTAGACGTATATCCTAAGAATATAGTACACGATGATTTTCTTTTAATAAATTCATCATCTTCTAATTCGTCAATTTGATCTTCTTTAAGAGGTATAATTCTTGCAGCCAACATACGTTTAATTTCATTTACAGCCAATCCAAAATTCGTTGCTTGAAAACCAGAATGTTTATATGACTCAAAAAGTGAATGATAATTGATTCCATGATTCCAATCATATCCTGGAGAATATAAACAGGATATAATTTTTTTTTTGAAATTTTTCATTTACATTTTTATTTACAAAAACTTTAATATATAAGACAAGATACCTTTTACTGTTGGTGTACCACTTGGAAGTGGAGAACTGTGAACCAACACAGCATCTTTAACAAGTTGTGGTACTTTATCTGTAGTATCATTTTCTTTTATGTTATTCATTCTTATAATAATTTGTACTTATAAATGAAATAGAATAAATTTTCTTCACAAGGTTACATATACAATATATGAAATAACCTTACTTAATAAGCGTCATTATTTCTCTTCGTCATATTTCTTTTTAATTATATTCAGGAATGTGAAAAATGTATGTATACATATATATATATATATATATATATATATATATATAATAATTAATAATTTTACAATAGTTGATTATTGTATTATTAAAAATTAAATAATCACATAAATATACAAGTACATTTCCAATGTATTTAACGTAACGTATTTTCTATGATCGAAAATGTCGATTGACCAATCAGCTAACACTTAAAATAATTCATTTGAAATAATAAAAGTTTATTTGGTATTATCGATTTTTTCTACTTGTAGAAAAATTATAAACATAGAAATTATATTTTTTTTATTATTATTATTATTATTATCATTCGCCTTAAAGAGAAATATTTTTTATTATGAAACGATATTGAATCACAAGATGGCGCTTCATGTAATCTAACTGCGTCGCATTTACTTGTTATACCATCTCTTCAAAGCCACACGTTCTAGATAATTTTATTGATGTAAAATTTGCTAAGGAAGAAACAGAAATTTGATAATATAATAGCTCAATAATACTTTTTATCTACTTTAATAAGAAAAGATAATATATAGAAATGGGCGATATAAAATCTTTTTTTCACCAATGGTGTGGAAAAAACGGGAAAGATCCACAATTTGATGTAAGGCCAACAGGTAAGTACTACCATTTTTGCACATACTGGTGCTTACCGTAGTTAACGGGAGATTTCGTTAGTCAATATTTTACAGGGCCAAAGCATAGACAACGTTTTCTTTGCGAATTACGTGTACCAGGATTCGACTATGTTGGTGCAGGCAATTCTACTAATAAAAAAGATGCTCAAGGAAATGCAGCTAGAGATTATGTTAATTATTTAGTTCGCGCAGGACATGTCAATCAAAATGATGTTCCTAAAGATACATCTAATATAATGCCACCAGTATTAGGGCCAGATAATATCAAATTGGAGCCTTTAACTCCAATAAAATCAGTTTTTCAAGATGGAATGGGCCCTAATGATATAGGCCAAGCATACCGACCTTATAACGAACATGGTCAGAGTAACTATACTTACATAGATAGGTTGGCCGATCAAAAGAAGGTAGAAGATGCGGAGGACGTTGATGTCAATTCTGGAATTCATGGAAATTGGACTATAGAAAATGCTAAATCAAAACTGCATCAGTTTATGCAAACTAACAAAATTAATGCAGATTATAAATATACCCCAGTGGGTCCAGATCATACGAGGTATGAAACATCCCATCAGAGCCCTTTAGTTTCAAGTTGGATTGGACCTCTGGTGCTCTGATAATATCCAAAATCCTGCTTAGAAACCAAGTTTAATTACATCCCAATATGGATTTAATGTATTTTATACCATTTGAACATGATCAAGGCCATTTTGGATTACATAATTAAAGTTATCTCTAAAGCTGGTACAAGAGGAAAATATAAAACTCTCTTGTGCACAGATGGCAGGTGATGGTATAACCAAAACTTTTATTGAAACGATTCAATAATGGTTTTGGTGCAAATACTTCATAAAATGTGATCCATCGTATTCCAAAGTGGTCTTGGGTAATTTCAAATGGTAAGTTTTCAATAATTTGCATAACAACCTTACTCAAATTTATTGCTTGTAATAAAAATATTTAGAATACTTTTTCTTTAGATATGTATTATATATTTTACATAAAGAATATCTTTTCAAGGAGTTTCATGGCAGAGATGACATTTTATGTGAAACAACTTGGACGAAGTAAGTTATATATATATATATATATATATATATATATATATATATATAAATATATATATATATATATATATATATATATATATATATATATATATATATATATATATTAATTTCTTATATTTATAATTAAATATGAAATAAATTTTCGTTATTCATAATGATTATGAAAATTTCAGATGTTACTGGCCGTGAGACAGGATCTAACAAACAAACTGCATCAAAAAGTTGTGCCTTGTCTATTGTTCGACAATTATATCATCTTGGTGTCATTGAAGCATTTAGTGGTACTTTAAAAAAAAATAAAGATGCAGAACAAATAAAACCTTATCCAGTTAAAATATCTCCAGAACTGGAATCTCAAATTCATGATCTATTGAGAAGCTTGGAAATAAAGCCGATCGAAGTTAAGCACACAGAGGTATAATATAACCGAGATCATTCTTCTATATAATTATTAATTAATAATAAAATTATATTAATTTAATTTGTTTGTTATTGTAGAATTTAAAAAAAAATCCAACGCAACATACTTCTTCACATTCTCAACCGAGCATGGGAGTCTCTTTATTAACAAATCAAATTCTAGATGATTTCATATCGTCTGTGCCACAACCTGCGGGTGTAGTTAGCTGGTCTCCTCCACAACAAAATTGGAATCCATGGACTGGTTGTAACATTGATGAAGGCCCTATGGCAACAATGTCTTTGGATAGATTATCAGAGGAATTAATGCGTGAGCAACGAGAAAGACTGCAACAAGATTCTAAAGTATTAAGTAGCATAAAAGAGAGATCAACATTACCAGTCTTTATAAAGAAAAATGAAATTATGAATTCTATTAATGATAATCCAGTCATTATCATTCGTGGAAACACAGGCTGTGGAAAGACAACTCAAGTTTGTCAGTTCATTTTGGACGATTATATTGCATCGGGTCAAGGTGCATTATGCAGCATTGCTATTACTCAACCTAGACGAATTTCAGCAGTATCTGTGGCGGATCGTGTCGCAGCTGAAAGATGCGAAAGTTTGGGACAATCGGTCGGTTATTCCGTACGTTTTGAATCATGCTTGCCTAGGCCCTATGGAGCTATAATGTTCTGCACTGTCGGTGTACTCTTGAGAAAATTAGAAGGAGGACTTCGAGGCGTGTCGCATGTAATAGTTGACGAAATTCATGAAAGAGATGTTAATTCCGACTTCATCATGGTAGTTTTACGCGATATGATACACATGTATCCTGATCTAAGAATTATTCTTATGTCGGCTACAATTGATACTACGCTATTTAGTGAATATTTCAATAATTGTCCAGTAATTGAAATTCCTGGAAGATCATTTCCCGTTCAACAGTATTTCTTAGAGGATTGCATACAATTGACCAATTTTGTTCCACCCATGGATTTGAAGAAACGTAAAAATCGTGATTCAGATGATCTACCATCGGACGGAGAACCCGAAGAAAATTTAAATAAAGTTATCAGTCCTGATTATTCTATTCAAACGAAAAATGCTATGGCACAACTCACGGAGAAAGAAATAAGTTTCGAATTGATAGAATCTTTATTGCAATATATTAAAGGACAAGGTATTCTTGGTGCAGTTTTGATCTTTTTACCTGGCTGGAATTTGATATTTGCATTGATGAAACACTTGCAGCAACATCCCATTTTTGGTGGGATGAGTTATATTGTTATTCCGTTGCATTCGCAATTACCAAGGGAAGATCAAAGAAAAGTATTTGATCCTGTACCTTCCGGGGTGACGAAAATAATATTGGCTACAAATATTGCAGAAACTTCTATAACAATTAATGATGTAGTCTACGTAATAGATTCGTGCAAAGCTAAAATGAAATTGTTTACTTCTCATAATAATATGACTAATTACGCTACCGTATGGGCAAGCAAAACAAATCTAGAACAACGCAAAGGACGTGCGGGCCGTGTCAGGCCAGGATTTTGTTTTCATCTTTGCTCAAGGGCAAGATATAACAGAATGGACGAACATATGACTCCAGAAATGTTTAGAACCCCATTGCATGAATTAGCATTGAGTATTAAATTATTAAGATTAGGCAGTATTGGTAAATTTTTATCGAAAGCTATTGAACCACCACCCATAGATGCTGTAATCGAAGCTGAAGTTGTACTGAGAGGTAATGAAACATTTAATCACTTTGTTTATACATTATAAATAATTTTTTCTTTTCTTTCTAAATCTATATTTCCTTATTGTAGAAATGAAATGCTTGGACAAAAACGATGAATTGACTCCTCTCGGGAAGATTTTAGCTCGCTTACCAATAGAGCCAAGATTAGGAAAAATGATGATTTTGGGATGCATGTTTCGAGTTGGAGATGCACTTTCAACGATGGCTGCAAATAGTACTACATTCCCTGAAGTGTATAATATGGCTCCTGACGTTAGACGACTTACCACGCAACAAAAATGGTTTGCAGGTGCAAGATATAGTGATCATGTAGCTATGTTACATGCTTTTCAAGCATGGGAAGATGTTAGAGCTTCTGGTGAATACGCAGAGCAAGCATTTTGCGACTCGAAGAATTTAAGTTTACCTACTTTAAGAGTAACATGGGAAGCAAAAGTATGTTGAACAAAAACATTATACATTAATACGTGTTTGGGTCAATTTCAAAGTCTTTAATTTTTTTTTTTTCCTCTCTCTATTATACAGAATCAATTACAAGCTCTTTTACAAAGTGCTGGATTCCCAGAAGAAACCCTCTGTCCAAATCTATTAAATTATCAATCGGGTGCTGACGTTCAACTAGATACGATCACCGCTTTGTTATGTATGGGACTTTATCCGAACGTTTGTTATCACAAAGAAAAACGCAAAGTTCTAACGACCGAATCAAAAGCTGCTCTTATTCATAAGACATCCGTTAATTGTAGTAACTTCGAACAAAACTTTCCGTTCCCATTTTTTGTATTTGGAGAAAAGGTAAATTAAATTTGATTAAAAATCTAATTGGTCCTTCTAACGAAGTAAAAACTTTTAGATACGTACAAGAGCTGTCTCTTGTAAACAAATGACTATGGTATCTCCGATTCATTTGTTATTATTTGGATCTCGAAAGGTGGAATATGTAGATGGTTTGGTAAAATTGGACAATTGGATTAATTTAGATATGAATCCACAACATGCTGCTGCTATTGTTGCATTAAGACCTGCTTTGGAAAGTCTCGTTATAAGGGCTGCTAAAGATCCAGAAA